AAACCAGGCACGTTGTTAATAACTTTAAAATCAGCGATGAGATGGTCAAACAAATTAAATAATTCAACATCATCTCTTATATTATGAATATATTTTTAATAGAAAAAAGATGAGAAAGTATCACATGAAAAACACATAAAATAGCTGATTTAAGGGTGTTATCAAGAACCCAAAAGAAAGCATCTCAAAGATAGTGTCTTCCGTTATTGCTTCAGCTCGGAAAGATAGGAGCATATGAACAGTCTTGCCAACGTCAGCCTGGCCAACAGAACAGCACTGAGAATAGCTACTGGTTCCCATCCTGGGGAGGCACTTTTCTTGTCAATTCTGTACTCTTGAGGGTTCTGAAATGGAAACAGAAGGGGAGGACATGATATCTGGGAACACAGAGAAAGCCTTTTCTGAATTGTCCAAAGAAGAGTGGAGGGTAGGGAGGGGCCTGGACTTGCAAGGTGTCCAGCTCAGCCACACACCTGCTGGGCGACCTGGAGAGTGTCCATTCACCTCTCATTTTCTTCATCTGAAATTTGGGTTGATAACACAGTTGTCACAGGGCTATTATGATACTGAGATGAGATAATAGGGGAAGCATTTGGCTCAGTGCCTGCCACATCGGTTCTTAAAGACTTGTTGAATTAAAATTCAATCAAAATAACTCTTGTTTCTACTCTTTGACACAGCTGAAATATTGGAAACTTCTGAGTCCACTTTGCTTGGAAATAAAAGACATTTTCATGGTTTAATGGAACCTTAAACCATGGTTTAAGGGATCTAATATGTGAAACATTTCGCAAGATGTCATCACCATAGTCTTATAGTTAAAGGGAATTAGGGGAGACTATGAAGAATCTGAGTGCTCAGAATTAAAAAAAAAAAGAAAAAGATAAGAATGGGAACTACTCATGAAAAAGACCAATGGAAGTAAAACCACAAAACTATTACAGGAAATACATAAAACAGAATTCGCACCACAACCTAGGCTCCCATGCTCACCAGACAATAAACACCTAGAAAGTACGATTCTGATCTGGGATGTTCCAAAAACTATGATGTCTTTAATTTGCCTACATTGAATCTGGCTTTCATCTGCATTCCTACCCACAGTTAGTGAGATGCAGTTATTTCAACATCCGATTGAGTTAAAAGCTTAGTCTGATTCAATATTTTAATCAGTCCATTTAGGAAGTCCATTTAATCAGTCTATTTAATCTCTGTAAAATTCACATTCTCTCATATAGCTTCCCACTTCCTCTTCTGCTGCTCTACGGGAGAGGGGGAGGTGGCTTATGTAGCAACCTCATGGCGTTGAGGGAAGCCAGGGTGTTGGAATCCCTGGGTGCTCTTGTTCTGCTCTGACTGCTGGGGGATGCATTTTTCCATCTGATTGCTGCACGCCCTGTGGGCCCTCACAGTCGTTTTGTCTGCAGTGGGGCAACTCATGATCTGTTCCTGGGGTAGGGCTAGGTGATGTCTCTGGGCTACTCAGTCTTACCTCACTCCTAGTGGAAACCTTGGAGCCTGGGGAACAACACAGCAGTGAGTTCTTCAGTTTTCTTTTGGCTTCATATACCCCAAGAAGGTGCTAGAGAAGCTAGCAACCCAGAAACAATGATGGGTGAGGAGAAAAAAGCCCCAAGAAAAGCCTGCTCTCTCTAGCCAAAGGACCAAGAAAGGAGCAATTAAGCAAAGTAAAAAGATGGGGAAAGATGTCCAATGCAAACACCAGTTTTAAAAAAAGCAGAAGTGGCTGTATTAATATTAGATAATGTAGACTTCAGAGCAAAGAAAATTTTGAGGAACAGGGAGATAAAGGGATCACGATAAAAGGGTAAGTCCACCAAGAATACACAGTAATCTTAAGTGTGCATGCATCAAACAACAGTGCTGCAAAATATGTGAAGCCAAAATAGGTAGAACTGAAAAGAGAAATAGACAAATCCACAATTATAGTTGGAGAATTAAATACCCCTCTCTCAACAACAGAAAGAACAACTAGACAGAAAACCAGCCAGGCTATAGACGAACTGAACAACACCATCAACCAATAGGATCTATTTGACATTTAGAGAACACTCTACCCGCCAATGGCAGGATACATTTTTTAAAGTATCCATAGAAGATATGCCAAGACAGACCATATCCTGGGCCATAAAACAAATCTTAACTAATTTAAAATAATTGAAATAATATAGAGTATGTTCTCTGACTACAATGGAGTCAAACTAGAAACCAATTATAGATATATAACAGAGAAATCTCCCAAAACGAAGCAACTAAACATGATACTTCCTAAAAATCACTGAGTCAAAGAGTAAGTCTCGAGGGAAATAAAAATACATTGAACTGGATCAAAATGAAAATACAACATATCAAAATTTGTGGGACAAAGCTAAAGCAGTAATGAGAGGGAAACTTATAGCAATAGATGCATACATCAGAAAAGAAGAACAATCTCAAATGAATAATCTAAGTTCCCACTTCAATAGATTAGAAAAGGAAGAGCCAAATAAACCCAAAGTAAGGGGAAGAAAGGAAAAAATAAAGATAAGGGCAGAAATCAATTAAATTGAAAACAGAAACAATAACAAAAAATCAACGAAACAAATATCTCACTCTTTGAAAAGATCAATAAAATGGACAAACTTCTAGCAAGATTGACAAGGACAAAAAGAGAGAAGACACAATTACTAATGTCAGGAATGAAGCAGAGGTATCATTACAGACACTGCAGACATCAAAAGGATAATAAGGGAACACTACAAACAACTCTCCACACAAAGATTTAACAACTTAGAAGAAATGGACTAATTTCTCAGTATGCACAAACTACCCCAACTCACCCAATATGAAGTAGATAATTTGAACAGCCCTACCACTATTAAGAAAATTGAGTTTGTAATTTACACGCCTCCAAAATCTATAGGCCCGGATGGTTTCACTGGAGAATTCTACCAAATGTTAAAAAAAGAATTAACACAATCCTGCACAATCTTTTCCAGAAATACAAGAGGTGGGAACACTTCCCAATTCATTTTATGAAGCCAGTCTTATTCCGATACTAAAACCAGACAAAGATATTACAAAAAAAAAAAAAAAAAGAAATTAAGAAAGGAAAAAAGAAAACTTTAGACCAACATGCCTCATGAATATAGACATAAAAATTTTAACAAAATATTAGTATATAGCATTCACAATATATAAAAAGAATTATGTATCATGATCAAGTGGAATTTTTCCAAGGATAGAAGGCAGGTTCAACATTTGAAAATCAATCAATGTAATCCATCAAATTAACAAGCTAAAGAAAAAAGTCATTTAATCACTTTAATTGATACAGAAAAAGAATTCAACAAAATCCAACACCTATTCAGGATAAGAATTCTCAGAAAACTATTAATAGAGGGAAATTTCCTCAACTTGATAAAGAACATCTATAAAAACCCTAGAGCTAACATTGTTCTTCATGGAGAAAGACTGATTGTGATCCCCGCAAGATCAGGTACAAGGCAAGGATGTCCTCTCTCACCACTGCTGTTCAACGTAGTGCTGGAAGTTCTAACCAACAAAGTAAGGTAAGAAAAGGAAATAAATGGCATAATTACATAATCTGTAATTCTGGAGTGCCCTACCCTAACATGCATTGTCATCACACTGCCTAAGTGTCCCCTGGGCCATAAGAGAACACCTGCAGGAGACATGTTTGGTAGTAAGCTGCTGCTATTCCTATTGTTCTCTATTATTCTTTTCTTCCCCTTTAGTTATTTGGGCTGGAGACGGGCTCTCTTCCCCAGAGCCCTTGTTCTCATTAGCCAGCTGGCATTTCAAAGGCAAAAAGGCATAACTCTCCAAACTACAGGAGAGTGCAGGCATTAGTCATTTGCTGGTGAGAAAAAGGAGCGAATATTTTAGGCTGAGGAAGAGAACCTGGTGAGCTCTCACCCTGGGGAGTCTTTGGGGAGTGTGGTAGTGCATAACTATCAGGACCCAGGGATGTACGCTTTTTGTTTTCTGAAATACGTTTTACTGTGATGCAGTTCTTCCAATACTAAACATTCTTTGCATAAACATATCCATCATCCACGTGTTTTGTTTTGGTGAGGAAGATTGGCCCTGAGCTAACATCTGTTGCCAATCTTCCTCTTTTTTCTTGAGGAAGATTGTCCCTGAGCTAACAGCTATGCCAATCTTAGTCTATTTTTTGTATGTGGGACGCCGCCACAGAAAGGCTTGATGAATGGTGTGTAGGTCCATACCCAGGATCTGAACCTGCAAACCGCCAAAGTGGAGCATGTGAACTTAACCACTACACCGCCAGGCTGGCCCTCACCCGTGTGTTTTGACTGATTGATGATATTTTCTGTCACTTTGTTGGAAAATTGCTTTTCTTCAGTTTGCTACAGGCATTTTGGCTTTAAGAAGGACATTTTGGGGGCATGCGCCCCTTGAATCATAAAGACCAAGGAAGGGGAAGTAAATAACTAATGGTTTCAAGTCACCTCTAATGAAAAGGGGAGATTTTTCTGGGGCAAAGCCTTGTTTCACAGCCAATGAGGGTGGGTACTATCATCTCCATAGTCTAGCTGAGGACATGAGGCTCCGAGAGGTTAGGTAACTTGTCCAAAATTGCACAGGTAGACACAGCAGAAGCAGGATTCAAACCCCACCAGTGCTGTTACCTGTCTGTCCACTCTAGGGGGGTGTCACATGGGGCCCCAAGTGAATCTGTGTGAGATCCTCGCACTCTGAAGTCTTCTGTCTTTGGAAGCCTCTGTATCAAGGTGGCTTGTAAGCATCCACCCTAGAGGGTGCAGATCTAGATGCCGAGCCTTCCATTGTTATCAGTTGGTGACATGGCCACACATACACAGCACACCTGGGTGAACCACTAGTGTGACTAACTCTTTCGATCTCTTCCAGAGAAGAGGAAACTAGGACCTTGGAGGGCTTTGCCCCTAAATGGTTTCTAGAAAATTCTGTCATGTCAAGAAGCAAAGCTAAACTTCTCGGGCAACAGTTCTCAAAACTTTTGGCCTCAAAACCTCTTTATGCTCTTAAAAATTATTGAAGACTCAAATAGCTTCAATTTGTATGCTTTAAATCTATTTATATTTAATGTATTTGCTATTTAAACTGACAGATGTTTTAAAAGAATATTAATTCATTTAAAATATTAAACCCATTACATGTTTACTTTACAAAAATATTTTTATGAAAAATAAATATATTCTTCAAAACAAAAATATTTAGTTGGAAGAATGGCATTGTTCTCCATTTTTTGTGATGTCTGACTTAATAGAAGACAGCTAGATTCTCCTACTTGCTTCTCATTTAGTCTGTTGTGATATGCTGTTTTGGTTGTAGTGAATGAAAAAACTCTGGGCTCACACATACATTTAGTTGGAAAAGGGAGGAGTATTTTATCAGTCTTTTCAGATAATTGTGGATAATATGCTTTGATTCTACATGAACACGACAAGTGTCAGCTTTGTAATATTAGTTGCAATGGAAATGGAAATCATGTTCATGAACTTTTTGTACTCTATTACATTAAAACTCATTGGTGTATCTCGCACTTTGAATAGATCTTTTGGTCATGCATGATTTCTTACTTCCAAATGTTGGCCATTTGGAAAAATATTGGTTCACTGTGGTATGAAGATATATACAATATCAAAAAATGATAATTATACCATATAAAAAATCACATTTGCTAATAGCACCACTGATCTCATCAGAAACATCCTTATTTGGAAGCTATCAAGCTAATGGTCATGGATACAAGCTTCACAAAACTCTAATTTTTGCTTGAAATTTAAAATTTTATCATTGGCTACAAACGCTCTCAATAGTTTTCCTTAAATTGACAGGTTTATTCAGTGCATTTTTCAAGAAATGTCTGCCCAATGCCCAGTGTGAACAACCATAGTTTGTCTGATGTTCTTTCCAGTAAACATGGTGTTTCTGAAAAAGTGGCTAGTTCAGCTTGTAATTCACATAATCCCACAAGCGCTTTTTCCTTGAGAAAGAAAACCGTCTTGCTTCAATAGGCCACAGGGGTGATTTTGCACAATTCCCATTCCATCACACAGAGTATTAAAAAGAAGTGTATTCAAGAGTCCATATTTTATGCAATTAATACTTTTTACTGACTTAAGGAGGAAGTTTTTAAGTGAAATTCTTGGTGTGTTTGTTTCTTCTGTGACTCCAAACAGAATACGTGAAGAGAAGTGAAGAACAGAGCGACTGCTAGTGTGGTTGGATATTACTGCCTTGGTTTGCGCTAAGGTGCCAGCAGTTTTAGCCACTCTTGCTTTTGCAATAACATTTTAGTATTATTATAAAAACAATTTTTACCTTGAGGACCCCTTGAAAGGGTCCTGGGGATCCTCAGGGGCCTGTGGTCCACACTTTGAGAACCACTGTTCTCTAGGGCAAAAGAAGATCAGAGGATTGGATGTGTATTAGAACATTTCCATCTTCATCTCGGCTATTCTTTCACACCTGAATCAATTGATTGGAAAGTATATAAGGAATGCTCATGTGCCCAGTTGAGTGCCAGGGAGACACTGAAGAGTTAGTGCTTACACCTTCATAGAGCTTCCCCGTCAAGTTGGGGAGCCAAGGCAATACAAGAATCAGCAAACTCTGAAGACCCTAGCCTTCTTTGTGCTTATAGTCAGTATCACACAATGTACCAATTTACTTTATTGCCCTATATTCTTTGCTGAGGCTACATGTGTTAATGAGATCCTTTCTGATCTTGGCTCAGATTTCGAGGTCTGTTTGGAGTCTCTGAAATTGCAGTGCCACAATTTGAATCCCTTCATGCCTACTGACCTCAGCAACAGAGTCAACAAGCTCAAGTTCAGACAGTTACAAGCCTTGTCCATGATCTGGAGGAAAACCGACCACATCCCCATGAGCATTAGCAGCCTGAAATAAGATACCAGAACTCTCAGGCATCAGTTTTATTTTTATTAACATAAAATAACAGAGTGATATTTTTTCCTATGTCTCTGATTTCTTTGTACTCGAGACTAGAGATTATACCAATCTGCATGTTTTTACCACATTCTAAATTGATAGAGTGTAAGGTAGTGGGTAAAAACATGGGCTCGTCATCAGACAGGCCTGAGATCTGATTTCATTTTCATTTCACACCAGCTGTGAGCATTTGGACAAACTACCTAATCTTTGTGAGCCTCAACTTTATTAATTGGTAAATGGGGATAATGATATTTTACCCTTAAATTTGTTAGATGATTAAATGATAGCATTCACGTAAAGTACCCACACCATCCTCATGATAGAGATTTTTCTGACCCACGTAGGAATTATTGTTTTTATTTTTTATTTTTTTTTGAGGAAGATTAGCCCTGAGCTAACATCCATTGCCGATCCTCCTCTTTTTGCTGAGGAAGATCTGCCCTGGGCTAACATCCATGCCCATCTTCCTCTACTTTATATGGGACGCTGCCACAGCATGGCTTGATAAGCGGTGCACCGGTTTGCACCAGGGATCCAAACCCGCGAACCCAGGACCGCCAAAGCGGAGCACACGAACCTAATCGCTAAGCCACCAGGCTGGCTCCAGGAATTATTTTTAATAAATTATTTTGATGGACATAGCTCTCTACTTACCTTCTTCAGATGTGGACTTACACATGGACTTCAGTAATTATGTTCTCAAATCACTCTTTGATGCATATCTGCTGTGTACCCAGCCTTGTGCCAGGCATTTTGGGGATCCAACAAACTAAACACAGAGCTGTGACCTTAAGGAACAAATAATCTTGCTCGAGAGACAGAATTTATAGAAAGATGCCATGAAACCATTTACAGAATACTGAAAGTTGGAGAAGGCCTTTAGAGGTCATCTAGTATAAATTTCTAGGCAATGAAGAAAGTCATTTATCATGGAATATAAACAAATAAGAGACCAGCAACAAGCTGGATGCGGATCACACGCAGAGTGCCAATAATAGCTAATAATAACACTGATTGAACCTTTATTTTACGTCAGGCGTTGTTCTTAGTGTTTTACATATATTACTTATTTAATCCTTTTGGAAACCCCATAAGATAGGTATTATGATTTTTTCAGAAGAGGAAACTGAGGCACTGAGAAGTTCAGTAAGTGATGAGAGCACAAGTCTTAGAACAAGATGAAACAATATTTTCTGCTGCTCTCAACGTTTTTCCAAGATCATTTCATACTGGACTTGAGCCTACCTACTCTTATGGGATCATGCTAATTTTCTATTTGTCCTCGCTCACTTTATTCATATTTTAAATATAATCTAATCAGAGATTTTCTTGTGCTGCCACATTGGTTTCTTTAAATGCCTCCATCTTCCTCTTAATTGACCTTACTTTTATAAGTTTCAATGTTGTTATGGTCTCTTTGGTCTTGTATCTATTTCAAGTACAAAATTTAGGTCCACATTTATTAATCACATTGTGAGTACTGGCATATGCACGTGTGAAATCCTAAGAATTATGCCCACTTTCCCCCCTCACATTTGCTCCTAAGAATTATCTCACCCTTCCTCTACTTGTCACCTCCCTTATTCTCCACAGAATAACATTTTAGACTTTCCTTTAGGCATTTTCTTCTTCCTGTTCAAATTCCAATTTGAATTTTACTTGAGCAGGTTGGTGGGTCTCCTGACAAAACACTCGTACTTGGAGAGGTCAGCAAGGAGGGAAAAGCACAACTACACGGATACTTTGTATGGAAAATGCATCAACAAAATTCGAGGCAATTTTTATTGTTTGGGTGTTGGAGGAAACCATCCTAGAGCACAGGAACTGAGCAAATTAAAAACTGTAGGTAATGAGACCTTGACCCGTGTACCAATAAAAGAAAAGTAATACCATCCAACCTCCTGCCAGTCATTGAAGTAAGATTCCCCCCTTCATGAGAGGCTGTTTCCCTACTGGTCCATTTTGTCGTTTAGCCTTTAATGAACGCCTTTGAAACAATTCTGATATTAAAAGAAAAAAAGTCATTCCTTATTGTCCAACGGATAGAACTTGTACAATGTTTTCACTTTCTCATAAGATTGAGAAGGGAAAGATCTTAGAGAACCAATAAAGAAAGGAGTGCTGTTTTTCTTTGACAAGTTATGTATGAACATTTCTATAACAGTCTCAGTATTTAGGTTAGCATCCTAGAACGCCAGTTCAGCAATGACTCCAATCTAGCGGGCGTGGAGTGCACTGTGACACTGGAGAGGGAGAAAGTGAGGCATGGGTGGGGGAAAAGTAAATCCAAATCCTTTGTATTTCCCATGTGAAAGCGGCAATGATGTGGCTTTGGGAACATTAGGGTAATTATTAATATTGGCACTGGCTATAAATATTGAAGAAAAGAGTGAGAAAACCCCTAAAATTTTTATTTAGTTTCATAAAAGTAATGTCAATTGTATTTATATAAACTCTTTACTTCTTATGTGTCTATTTCATGTAACAGAGTAACAATTCCACAGCATTGTCTGCATGTCAGAAGAATGCTTTTGTAATTCCATCTGACTACGTTAGTAAACTCCATGTAGGATGACCACATGTTCTAGATTTTCTAAGAATAATTCAGTTCCAAAAATGTAGTCCATTTGTCTCAATAAGTTATTATAACTTCTCATTAAAGAAATTCTATAACTTGAGAAGTTCTTGAAGTAGTCCACAAAATCCAGCACTAACTCCTAAAATCACTGAAATATAGGGCTAGCTGTGTACTGAATCATGGTACCAGGAGGTGGAGACAGGGGTGAAGGAAGACAGTTTTTGTTTCTCTCTTTTTGTGCATTGGAAACAGGGACTGTTTGGGGTATGTTCTGGCATCTCCAGTAGAGGCTGTGGGTGCCCTGCCCAGATCCCCTGTACTGGCCAGTGCACCCACCCCCAAGCTGCTATGAGCACTGGCTGCAACAGGCTCACAGCTGCCCCCTTCTCCTGACAATTGCCCTTGGTCAGTGGGAGCTGCTTGGCCCTGAAATACCTGGGAGATTTTGCCCTCCCCCCAGGGTGGCCCTCAGCCAGTGACTGACGATGCTGGGTACAAAGTCTGGGCTCCTTGTCACAGACAAGGCTGGGCTCTGTGATGCCATCCATACTCCAGAGCTCTCCATGGGACCAGGCTGAGGGTAGATGTCGGCTGAACTTGCTCCTTATTGAGCCCTCCCCTGCTCCTCACATGTCCTTACAGGATTCACAGGAGAGCTCTGAACAAATCACTCGCACTAGAATCCACATCTCAGGCACTGCTTCCAGGGACCCTGACCCACACAGAATCTTCCCCAACCTACATCCTTTGTCTATCTCCTGGTTCCCTCTTCCACCCTACACTTACATTCAGCTGGAAAATAGAAGGAAAGTAACCTGAGCCAGTTAATTCATTTTTCTGTGAATGATGATACCCTTAGCCTTCTTGAAAGTACTTACATTTTTATAAGAGGATTATTATTATCTAAATTAGAATTTCATGCAGTGTTTGGGCAGGTATACATACATATATACATCCTGATTGCGACATGGCAGACCAGTCATCCAAAAAAAAGCATAAAGCAAAAATACTATTCAGTATTTGTTTTGCAGGCAGCCCTTATAGAGGCAGCGCACACCCAGAGCGGTGAGAGTGGTGCCCACAAGCTCCTTCCCTGGGCACTACACTCAGCATCATCAAGCCACTGTAGCTTTGAATTGTGTCTGTGAGCATCTGTGCTTTATCTCAATTTATTTTGGTAGGTTATTTTTTTGGGTGTGGGAACACTCAAAAATTGTTCCCATATAAATTAATTCTTTGCTTTATGTTATTTCAGCTTATGAAAGGTTTCATAAGAATGCTCTACTTTCAGATAGCAGGGGAAACCTGTACATACAATACCTTATCCCAAGAAGCTTTCTCCTGAAGAGAAAACAAGGCTGTGGTTCCATTGACATATTACAGAATCTCAGTGTTGTAATCTCTTCTCCAGAGCCACGGCTGGTCCCACTCAGTCATTATCTATAAAACTGCCATGTCTTGCTGTTTGACCCATATGACTACCACATGCAAAATTTGATCTAAACACTAGAGAATGTGAATCTGTAGAGATCGTGCCGGAACTAAATGAAAACCTTTGCAACTTTCCCCCATTTCCTTACTTTTTACACATATCTCATTTTATCAAATGTGAATACATAAATTAACTTCTTATCCCAAGTAATCTTTGTGGAAATAAGTCAGATAAAGATAAATATCTATTCCTTTGGGCCTTATAAAAAAGCAAACCAGTTTAGCACGGTAATTTCATACAGTCCAGACTCTGCTAAATATAAAGAGCGTCAATGCTTAGCATACTTCCCACTTCGCTGATAACATAAGGGAAAATTGGTCATTGGCCTTCTTTGGAGTGTATTTGCCCACCCTATGAGTCCCATTAAGCCATCAAAATACAAATGTTGGAAATCTATTCCCCCACTTTTGTTCAGATAGTCCCAGCAACCCATATCTTACATAGTGAACTGGCCAAGAGCATATCGGAACTGCTTCAAGGCTGGCCTCCCTGGGATGATGGACGGATCTTCAAAAGACACGCTTTATAAGTCAGTCCTCTGTTCCTGCTGTCCCTGTGGATCGGGCAGGCCTCATGAACAGTGCACAAAGCCTGGCGATAAAATCCAGCTGACTTTTATTGGTTTCCCTTTACAAAGTTGGCTTCCAGCCTATGTCTGGTCTCCAGATGAAGCCGCTTCGGGTCTGCCCCACACTGTTAGATCCAGAATCAAATCTTCTCCCAGCTGTGTCCATTGTGGCTGCTCCAGCGGCTCTGACTCTTGTCAGGTACAAAATATACAAACAAATTCCACTTCAGGGTGTCTGATTTCCAAGGATTATTTTTAGTTGAAATCAGCACCTCCTCCAATTTTTTACATTTCTAAGGCACTGATTTATCCCTGTCACTCTTTTCTGCCTATCTTCATTTCCCCTCTTCTAGATTCTCTGCCAAAGCAGTTGAAGGTCTTCCATTCTCACTCATTTCTCGAGTGCTCGGAAGAGTAAATATTAAGTTTCATCTGATTCCAAGGGAGGCCTTCGGGGGTGAGTTCATGGCAATGCTTCCTATCTGTTGAAATGACGTAACGGGAGTGGAAGCTGTATCTGTCAGTTTTATCACTACATCATTTCTTGGGCACTGGGTCAGTCTATAGTGCTGTTTGCTCCATTAAGCATGTGCTCCGTTAAAAAGACTGGCACTGCCTTCCTCTCTGGGTCTCCAACGGGCATTTAGGGGGTATGTGTTTTCTCTCATTCCACCACGTCTGCTGGCACCAGGGTCCACCCAGGAAAGACAGTGTTTGGTTCATTGGATGGGTAGCTATTTTTTTGCTTCCACTACCTTGGGGATATGGCAGCTTGCATTTATATAATGATCTAGAGGTTTTGCATATATTATTTTATCAGAGTCTTACAAATTCTGTGAAGTATGAGAATTAATAGAAGCATTTTATAGATCTGGGAACCGAGCCTTGGGTTTAGCAATATGCTAGTAATTAGTGGCAATGGCTTTGAATCTAAATATTTCAGCCTCTTTCTAACTAACCATTTCTTTTTGTAGCAAGAGTCTTGTGCTTTAAGGTGTTTGCCCTTTAGTTACCAAATGCTTTCAGAGGCCTCAATTTTCTTCGCAAGCCTGTCCCTCAGAGCTAAGTGTACGTGTTGACACATGCATACCCAGGGTGACATTGGCAATCAGCCCGGGCCTGTCCCAAAGCTCTTCTGCTCTGTCCTTGGCAGCAGGTGGCAGTTTCCATGCAGCCCCTGTGTGCCCTGGGGCAGGTGGGTTGGAGGGAGCCACAGGCCAAGCAGGTCCATAGCCCTGAATGTGTTTTATGCCTACAGGATAAGCAAGGAAGCCAAGCCCTTCACTAACAGTCCCACTCTCTTTCTCCAAACTCACCCCCTGCCTGCTGATGTTGGACCTGGCCAAATGACTTGCTCTGGCCAAGGGAACAGGCACAGAAGGACAGTGTGCCAGTTCCGGGCCAAGGCCTTAAGAGACACTGTGGGTTTCTGCTCACCCCTCTTGTGCTTTTCCCATCTATCATGAGGAGACCATGCTCTGAGTAACTGCTGGCCCCCAAATCTGGAGTAACAGGGAGCACAGCTGAATCTAGCCCACAGCCTGGAGCCAGGCCAGAGTCCAGCAAAGCCCTTGCCGACCTGTGGACCGGAAGTGAGAAATGAATGCTTGCTACTGTAAGCCGCTGAGTTTTGGGGCCATTTATCACTAGTTTTCTTGCATATTAAATGTTAATTACTTGTTTATTACACACACACCCCCCCGCAGCGTGTGCACATACACACACACACACACACTTAAAAAATTGTTTTTCCCCTGAAAAAGCTCCTACTCCTTCTTCAAGACTCACTCACCTGGGGCAGAGTTGGCGTCTCTAGCACTCTTTCGGCAGACTTCCGTTTGAGCACTTCCTATCGTGCCCCACGCTATAGTCCCCCTATTAGGAGCAGACCTGGGCTGAAAACAGAATTTGGACCAGAATTTCACGGGGGTGGGGGTGTCGGTGTACAATCAGTAGCTGATCCTGTTTAAATGAAAGAGCAAGGCCAGGCGTAGGAAGGGGCAGAGAGCAGCTCCCCCGGAGGCGTGACGTCCGTGGCCCTCTGCCCGACATCCAGGGGCCGGGGGTCAGGTTGCACGGATGAACGTGCCCGCAGCCACACTCCGCCAGCTGGCCC